TTTTAGGAGTTTTAAAGTTTCGGGTTCTTTCGGATATCCATTTAAGTTCGGGTTCGGTTCGGATAATACCCATAATCCAAAATACCGTAAAACAAGATCCATTCGGTACTTATGTCGGGTTCGGATCGGTTCGGGTTCCTTTTTATCGGGCCGGATTCGGTTCGGATTTTCGGGTTCGGTTTTTTTGCCCAGCCCTAGCTATACCTATTTATTGATCTTATTTTTAATTTTAATTTAGAATTTCAGGACTTGTCTACTACGGTAAGTTTTAAATCTTAAACCACATCATTACGAAACCTATATCTACGGGTTTAATTGTTCTCGGACTCTTGATTTGAACATTGGTTGTAAATATGTCATATATGATACATGTGATGTACATTACTATCAACATCTAAAACAAAAAAAGAAAGAAAGAATTTAGGTTAGTTGTGTTACAACTGAGGTGCGTTTTTGGTTAATGTGGTTAATGAAGGGGTCATGAAGATCAAGGGAAAGCAGCTACACAGTACAAATCAGAGCAGCGATCAAAAATGGTTAAGAAAGGCTTCAGACTCCATGGAAATACTGGCGATCAATGGAGTGACCTGCAAGGTTTTGCCGTGGCTGATCGTTCTTTCAAAGTCCCAAATCCATTATACTATATTGCTTGATCATCTGATGTTGCATGTTATTTTTATATTTATAATGTATTAATATAATAAAAAAGATTATGGTCGTCAAAACTCACTGGTGAAATTTCACGATTAAGACAATTAAATCCACTTAAAGAAGTTATTGCTTTAGTTACAACGGCACCATATTCTTATAAAACTTTTCCATACGAAAATGAGCATTATCAAGATCGTCTTACGTATAATTTGAGTAGGTGTTACACCATGTACACCAATTAAAATTTTAAATTTAAATTATATTAATTTAATTAATATTTCAGATTTTATTATTTCATACTAGTATTTAATATAAATTTTAATTTAGCTAAACATAAAATTAAGTTAAAATAAAAAATTTAATTTATTCAAAACTATATTTAAGAAAAGAGATATATTTTTTGATAAAAACTTAAAAAGATGTGTTTAAGAGAATTTACATGCTTATAAATTACAATTCGAAATTTGTAAAATATTTCAAATTTCTATTATCATATTATTTATTATCAGATTTACATATAATTATTTTAACAGTGATGTATTAGTTATATCTATATTCTAAAAAGTTTACCAAAAATATAAATTTATATTAAATATAATTGTTATGTCATACTTATCCATAAGTTATGTTATCAATTATAAAATGTCATGACATATTTTTAAATGAAAATTCAAATAATATGTCTCAAATCACTTTTTAAATAATGTATAGAGGACTAAGACCATGTTTAATGCAGACACGGAAACATAGGTAATTTTTATTATTTTATTTTATTTTATTTTTTATTTTTTGTTTAAATTAAAAGAAAAAAGAGGAGAAAGCAATAAAGAGTGTATGCAACTCAAAACAACGTCCCTTGGTGGAGCTCCCAAACACCCGTTCCTTATTAAAATGCTGGACCCCACCAATTTCTTTATCATTTCTTTTGCTAAGAGACCTATGCTAAGAAACATCATTAAACATGCTCTAAGAGACTAGGAACTAACTAATCATTCTAGCCATATTCCGTAAATACCCATTTTGGAAACATTCTTATACAGTATCTGTTAATAGTGACTTAAAATTTACCCAATGGTAAAAACAGTATCAATTAACAACAACCACTTTTCTTTGCCATTTACTAATTTTATTTTCTAGTAATCATGGAGTCCAAATAGACAAACAAACATAAAAGGAAAATTAAAGAATTGATTCTTGCTTAATCAAATATAATATAAAAGTACGACGTAATATAAAAAAAATTGGTACGTAAGAATCTTTCTATTATAATAGAAGTTCAGTGTGAAAAATGGATTCCACTTGTCGAAAGAGAAAATATACAATACTAATAAAAATAACAGAATAAATAAAGGTAATCTGGTTAACAAACCCAATAAAGGTATTTTATTATCTGATTATTAGTTCAATTTCAGATTTTAGAACAAAGACGTTCTCCCATAAATATCTCATAATAAATCTAATAAAATAATGAAAAAGGTTGGAAAAATGTAAAAAGTAGAGAGAATGAATATTGGTATAATATTGGTATAATAGGTTTATCTGATGCTACATCTTGGATTCTTCAACAATGGTTGCAACATCGACCACCACAGCCTCAAGCTCCTTTTGCAATTAATGATATATTTTTAATGTTTTAAATATTAATACAAAATAAAAAATATATTTTTATTTATTAGTTTTTGACACTTTTATTTGTTTTTCAGTATACTTATACAGTTCATATTTTTTTTATTTTAATTCATGTTTTACTTTAAAGTAAAATACATAAATTGAAACTACAACGACAATCTTTTGTATATAGGTCAAAATCAATCATTTATATACGGAAGAAAGAATTACTATCATTTTTGGAAATAACGAATTTCGATAATCGTCAGTGAAGATTCTTCACGACAGCTTTCTCTAGGCCAAACAAAATCCATTTAAGTCATTTGTCATACAATACGGATATCTCTCATTTTTATCCGGTAACATGTCAAAGCTCTCCTATTTTTAATTTAGTTTGGTTGTATATATTTTTCTTTCCTCGTGTAAATTTTCATTTGTCAGTTATATTTTTAAATTTATTTATTTTTGTAATGGGTATATGATAAGTTGTATCTCTTTTGAAAGTTATATACATTTTTAATATGAAAAGTTAAAACCAAGGAAAAAGTAAACAAGTCTTAACAAGCATATAGGGGAAAGTATTGTAATCAATATTATTTACCAACATATATATTAAACAAAAAAATTATACAGTTCATTCTAAAGAAAGAAAAAAAAAACAGACGAAAAATTTAAAGAACAGAAGAAATGAATTTAAAAATAAATATTCTTATATCTGGTTCTATATATAGCACTATCGATGATTTTGATGCAAATTTATTGTTTTTTTTTCGTCTTTTCTTCTTTAATATATTTGTCAAAACACTTATCTTTTTTTGACGCTACTTATAAACCCTTCACCATGTCGAAATCATGCATATATAATTTCTTTGGTCAAAGATCGATCAGTTTACCATTTCCCATTATATGTTATGATGGTGACGACAATGGAGATGACCATCATGATAAGCATTGATGGCAACACCATTGTGATGAGAGGTCATGATCATCAGATTGGAAAATGGTACTACCCATGATGATCTTGATTGTTAGAAGAGTCGGGGGCTGGCCAAAACGTTGTTGAGTACTTCAACCATTCTGCTTCTTGTTGGTTCCCCATCGATGATGGTCCCTGCACCAATCAATATTATTTCTCAGCATATACACACACATATACATTAATATATAAAACTATATATGTGTGTAATAGACTAATAGTGCGCCTGTGAGAGCATATATGTACGAACTATTCTTTAAGAACCGAGCATACATTATGGCTTCTTTTATATTCTTTCGGTTTTAATTTAGTTGTAGATAAAAAATTATTACAAAAATATAGTTTTATGATTTCATTATAAAATTTATAATTTTTTATGTTATTTTATTTTTATTCGTTGGAATGTGATTAAATTATAATAATGATATTTTATTTAGAAATATACAGAATTAAATATATATATATATATATATTAATTTGTGTGTATAAATATAAAATAATAATTAAAATGAAATAGAGAGGCACTGAGATATATATCAATATTTTTGAAATATTTATATATGTACATAAATACTCTCCACTAAGGAATGCAGACATGCTGTCCCCCACGAGAACACAATGAAATCTACTTATGTCTATTACCGAACTTGTCTCGCGAGGTACTACGCATGAAAAAGACATAATAATATTTACATATACTCACATATGTAAAAATGCTCCATCATTGCCTTCTTAATTAGTTCTATAATGCTTAAAAGGGAGAAAAGGAAAGAATCTGAAAAATTGTACTGTTCTTCTTTAAAAGGGTAATCTATAGATAAAAGAAAGCAAACTATATCAAAAGCAAAAACGTCTCACTTGCTTTTTCTTTTGTGGTTTTGTTAATTTACTTAACTCTATTTTAAGTCTTTCCAATTAAGTAAAGAATCAAACTTAAAGAGAATATATGTAGTTTTAAGTGTTCTTCCCATGCAAAACTGAAAAAGAAAAAATAAAGGAAAAGAGTTTTAAAAATATTCTCCACTTTTATTCAAATGTAACATAAATTATTCAAATGTAACATGCGTCGTTATCTTCGACCAAGCAATGATCATTATAACAATCCGATTTAAAAAAAAAATTGCTTCAACTTTACAGAGGGTGCATTTTAAATCGAGAATCCAAGACTACTCTCAATTACATAACTACATTTGATTCCAGTATGTTTCGCTTGTATGATGAAGCTACAACATATTACTGGACGCATGACATCATATAATAAGGTGATAAAAATCACATTTAATACAGTAATATATATATATGTACGTACATATGTATTTTTTGCTTTAAACTCATGATGGTAAAAAGAGGGGGTTCCCATGAAATTAAGTGTCAAAAAGGATTAATAACTTACATCTTTTACATCATGATGAGTGTTCGAAGAAGAGCAGCCCATTATGAGTTCTTCCAATCCAGAACCCGACCTTCCTCCCATCTTCCCATCATTGTGTTGCTCGGCTCTTTCTTGGTCTTGTTGTTGTTGTGTCTTGTTCAGTCAGAAAGACAAAGGTCATTTCAGAAAAATATTAATTAATTTTTAAGAAACCTGTCTTTAAACATTAAAATTAATAATCTTGTCTCTTAGACCACATTGGTTTTCTACTTGTTTGTTTGGCTGACACTAAAAAGTGGCTTCGCTTTTGTTGGCCTTTGGATAATGAATAGTTGGACTAAATCAGGCATACTTATATTCAATTTTAATTGATATTTTTTTATATTCAAAAAAAAAATTGATATTTCTTGACCAATTATGTCTTCTTTTTTTGTCAAACAACCTATTATGTCTATGCCCTTTATTTTTCATAATTTATTCTGGTATGACCCAGTTTGCATGCTTATGTAGTCCCATCATTGTAAAGTCACATGCATGCAAATATCTTAAAACCCTAATTTGTACAGCTTAGTAAAATACGCATACACATACACATATTAAAATTGTACGTTGAGACCCGTATAAAAATGATAGGTTCATGACTCATAAATCAATTTGATTATTGAACTATAGTGATATTCTAGCTAACCTGGTCGTATTCACGAAACTATAACTTTCACCTAAAGTAATTAATAACATCGAGCTGAGGTGGGGGGGGGGGTGTGAATTGTGAACGAAACTAAATAATATTTTTCCCCTAAAATGTGTAAATAAAAAGAGAGAAAAGAATAGTTATCTTACTTGGTATTTTTCATTAGGGAGCAAGATTCTATGAACATGATAAGGATTATCGTCAAGGATATTGACGGGGGCACGGTGAAGCGATGTGGATGGAGAAATGATGGTTGATATTGGATGTGTAGGCTGGCTTATGTTGAATGCATGATACCGTTGTTGTTGCTGATGGTGGAGATGATCATGAGCCACATGATGTGATGTTGATGATGGTGATGCTTGATGACGAAGTTGTTCTGCCATAACATCCTCACATGTAGCTTGCCTGGTCTGAAGAGTTTCCCTCCTCGCCACCTGAAAATTATTAAAAATTAATTGATATATATATATAAATATACAATATTTGTTGTTCCAGTAGTTGTATTATTTTACTATTTGTTAAGACCGTTGCGGTTTAGACATTGTTTTCTGATTTCATCACGTCGGGTGAAACTTTAGGTCATATTGTTAGTTAAAATTGATTATCACTAACCGTTCATTATTATCACTTCGGGTAAATCCTCTTGTAGATACATGATACTGATAGATAATAAGAAACAATCCCTCAAAAAGGATCCCTGTTTGCTTGCAATGCATGCAAGTACTAACCCTAATAATACTTTTGTTACCACATTCACGTTTTTTAAATCTCGCTTTAATGCCAGTGCGAGACTACATAGTGGAAATTGAGTTCAAAATCAAATAATTATTAAACGAAGATATTCTCCAAAAGTATTTTTCTTATTTGCATAAGAATATTACCCGATTTGATATATATATATATATATATAGGATTTCTGGATATATACGTTAGATTCTCCTTTTGGTTATATTAAATTTAGTTTCTATTGTATTTATCTCATTTGATATTTTATTTATAAAAACCAATTTTAAATGGAAAATAAAATGGCGCATACCTCCTCGAAGCTCTTCATAAATGGAACAAAGCTGAGTTGATCCATTGCATAACTCGAGAGACCAGCCGCTATAGCTATACCGCCACCACCTACTTCATCAGATTGATTTGGATGATTAACATTCATAATCTCTCTAGACGAAGAACAACTCCCACCACTGGTAGTGCCACTATCTTTCCTCATATTATACTCTCCACCGCCTCCGCCGCTATTTGCTTCACCGCCTCCACCACCTATAGCGTTCAAACTTGACGTAGATGACGACCAATTGCATTGCCTAGGCTGAGTCTGATAAAATATCTTAGACACAACAAGCTCTCCTTCTCTCTCTTCCTCATGTGTCCCCAGGTGATATTGATGCATTACCCAATTGGTTTTCTCAGGTTTTCGATTCTTACCAAAATTGGTATACAAAACCAAAATCTTCTTACAACCTTTTTGCTTACCGTTTACCATAACCGGTCTTGTCTTACCGGTCTTATGCCACCTTGTCTCCCCGGAACTACCACTTCCTTGCAAAGTATTGTCACATTCCGTTTGAATCTTTCTTCGCTTTCTTGTTCCCGTTGTATACGCCTTTGAGGGTCTATGAAAGAAGTGTCTGCTTAAACCATCTCTAGTCACTCCTACCATATTGAAAAATAAATAAAATATTTCTTGTTAGTTTATATATTCTTTTTAAAAAGAAGTTTATATGTTTCTTGTGTGACCCAAACTGAAAAGATTCAAATGTTGGTATGACCCAATTCTCTATATCTGGTCCAATCAAACAATCATATAGTATAATGAAAGAGATGCATATGTGATTTATAAATATGGAATGCATGAAAGTAACAATATGAATAAGTATACAGATATATGTGTGACCAAAGCTAAAAATAATTCAAACTTTGGTGAGACCCAACTTAAAAAAATAAAAATTTAGTGTGACCTATAGTCATATTATACAAAACATATATTATAATGAAGATATAAATATATATAACGAATTAACGATCGATGTGATGCATGGATCGTGTATAAAGATGTATGTACCAGGAAGTTTTTCGGGATGCGTGTAGCAAATGCCGTCTTCGCCTTCAATGGTGGGGATGAATTCGTCAATTAAAGGGTGAGATTTGTTGTCTTTAACTAAGACTTTTGCCTCTAAATGTTCTATCAACTCTTGATCCGTTGGGTCAAATTTCACTCCTGCGGGTAAACCAACCCAATTCTGCTATAAAGAACAAAGGAAAAAAAAATTAAAATAAAGAACAAGAGAATATAAAGTGTATATACAGCTATACATATAAAGACTCGTATATAGACGCTTTAAATTTGGATTTTGAATTTTTGTAAACGAAAGAATAAAACAGAGAGCATCATTCTTGATGTTCTTCATTGATTCTTTTCTTTTCTTTTTTTTTTCTCTTAAAAACATTTACAAGTGACCTAAAATGAGAAAAAGATGGTAGAAAGAATGTAGGGCCCCCAAGAATGTATCTATAAGTTAATTAAAAAAAGAAAAGAATATGACTTACTGGTTTGCCCTCGATCTTGTGGCCGCAGCTGGGACACTTCTTGGATCCACAAAGTTGATGCTCTTCGATCTTTGCGTCGATTATATCCGAACCGGTCACTGTACCAGCAGGATTAGTTTTGTTCATCTCGGTCCCTAATTAATTCCTTTGATCACTATCTTATCCGTCTCTGATCATTTCCGAGAGTTGAAGTGTTTATATATATAGAGAGAGAGACTAGGAGAGAAGATTTGAATAAACCCTCTTTTACTATTGAGAGAAACCACTGATTTTGAGGAGACAAGACAAAAGAGCGGTTTTCTTGAAAACCTAACCGACACAAGAACAAGACAAAGTAAGAATTTATGGGGAACTAACCCTCAAATTATGCTAAAAGGAACAAACTTGGTCGAGCAGAATAAGATCTGCAAATCAAGAAAGAGAGAGAGAGAGCAAAGAGGAGAGATGATTAATAAACGACAAGGTGAGGGAGAGAAGAAGAGAAAGTATGAGAGTTGGGATGTGAAGGGTATAAATTAATAAAAAACATACTAGAGCTTTTCTAGGGAATTAAATATACTATATAGTAATAAATTCAATATATAATTATAATTATAGTACCATATATATATATGTATGTGTCTATCTCAAACTTTAACTGAAGATGTAAGCGAGAAAAAGGAAAAGGTGGCTCTGAAACCCATTCACTGACCCACCTTTTGTTTTGCCTTTGCCGGTTTAAGAAGCCGCTATGAATCTTTGAAGCGGTTCGTTTACATTTTTTTTTTCATCAAAGCGGTTCGTTTACATATATCTACATAATCCACACACTTTTTAATATTCGTGACTAGATTTACTTATGCTTATATACATTTATATATACGATGTATAGGTGTCTATATATACGTGACTGTACATAGTGCATACCTTAAAACATCACAAACTGTTATTAATTACAAATCCGCATAAATTTATTTTTGATTTCCTTTCTAGAAAGTCTAGTATTAATTAGAGTTGAATTTTTTTTATATATTATATATTTTTTATTTAAACTTTTAATGTGAGATGTTGTTTGATATATCACAACTTTTATGTAATATAATGCGTGTAAACTAACTGCAAAAGATATAGATATTTTACATAATATCTCTATGATTAAATATATATTTCATGATGGAATAATGTGAGTTTCATTACGATGAAGTATAAACTTAGACAAAATGGCGTCCTTTTTAGAAGATATATGATAAAAAAATTTTACTTCACCCTACTCTTCGTAACATTTTGATTTGTAGGATAACGTCACTATAGTCACAATCTAAACATCGAGTTAAGGAAAGTTTTGAATATGTTGATCTGATCGAATGTTAAGACTCAGAAGAAAAACTGTAGACTAAGAAACAAACAAGAATAAGAGAAGATCTATCAAAGAAAGAAAGAAAAAAAAAAGACGAGAAGAGGAAGAGATGTCACATGGGCATCGAGCTGGGGAACTGATCATTATACTTTTGTTATTTAAATTTGGATTTCCTTTTGGATTATTTTAAGTAGAATTTTTGCAGAGAGAAAGGAACTGAGGTTGCTTGACAAGTAAGGCAAATTGAGCAGTGTGCGCATCATATGGACCACACCATCTCTTCATTTTATGATTATATATTCGTGTTTGTAGTTAAAAACGATATCTTAAAGCGAATATTTTTAATTTGAATTTTGTACGTATTGTATTATATATGGTCACCTTGGATATCCGTTTACGTTAGCATGAATTAAAGAAATCATGCCAATTATTCTTTTTAATTACATATGTTTCAACTTTCAAATCAGACAATAGTCTCCTTTTTCCATAAAAGGTTTAATGAAATAAACGTTTACAAAAAATGCAATGAAATAATCCTGAAAATACTGGTAACTATTAAGCTTGCTAATTTAAAGTAGTGTTCCTTTTTTCTCTTTCTGTTTTGGATGGAAGAAGTAGCTGTTCTCAAAACATATTTATTGTACGCGTTCATACGATTTCATAATACTCCAGATGGATATATGTTTCTTTCAGTAATCTTTAGTATCTTGACTGTAATGATTATAAAGCTATATCGTATTCGTATAATCAATTTTCTTCGTTTTTTCATCAATATATACTGTCAACATAATAAAGGGACAGAGCGAATAAATAAAATACGAGGGTAGAAAAAACGCGTACCGTACAACTAAGCTTCATCTCACCTTCATTGAGATTAGGACTTCTCTTGTTTAAGCATTTTGTATATCTTATTTCAGTCTGTTGTATTTGCTTCCTTGTAATAACTATCTATTTGGCTCGGAGAGCTTTATTATCATATTCTCTAAACATTTTTCTATATACATGAAAAGTAAAATCTATAAAAACTGAGGTTTAACCAAAAGTAATCATAAACGCAAAATATAATATCAAAGAATTCGTTTCTCGGAAAAAAGAATATCAGAGAATTCCGCTCAAAGCAAATTTAGATTTTAATAGAAGGAATTGTATTTTATGAATAAAAACTATGTCGTCGATAAACCTATTAACTTTCTTGATTCAGCATGTATTTTGAAATTTCACTAAAATAGGTTAATCTAGAAAGTGGTATGTGTAATAATCTCATACGGCTCTTTATGATGTATGAATCAAGATAAGTGTAGGCTCCACAAACGATGGGTCCATGAGTTGAGATCTTTCGTTTGATTGTAGTTTTAAATCTTTGAACTCTCTTCGACCAATTTTTATTGTTCTGGTTCTAAGAATCTAATTCAAGTTGCCCAATATTCTAGAGCCGTTGGACGGTACGTTCCAAACATATTGAAATTTCTCGATCTGGTGTGACAATATTATTATCAATGTATATTACTGGTTTTTTGTCAACAAATTTTCATAGTAAAATCTTTTTGGATTTTTGATTTAGTAGACGACAGAAATTTAGAAAAATTAAAAATGCCTTTACCAAAATCTTCTAAGAACATTATTAGTGGTGTGATCTCTCCGCTGAGTACCTAATAAATTTTGTTATATAATTAAGTTTAATTGAAAAAGACAAGAAAACTATACAATCAATGACACATAACACTTAAGGCTCTCATTTTTTGCATCGATTTTCAAAGACAAAACATCTATTCCCTATATCCATTCTCATTCAATCTTTTTCAAAATTTAAATGTTTTTGTTGTTGAGAGTTTTTGGGAGAGACCTATCGGCACAAGTTACTCGACCATGCATTGTAACTTTATTGTTGAGAGATTCGAGTTCTGCATATACAAAAAGAATCTCAATCCCAACGGTAAAAAACCACCAAAGGAAAAAGAGAAAAAAAAATTCCTATATGATTATACATCAAAATTATTTACCTAAAGAAAATTAAAAAATTGGAGGGTCAAAGAATGAAATCATGGAGGGACCAAAGATATGTCCTGAATAAAACATATAGATGCCTATGATTGCCTCTTTGTCTGGCTATTATCACATCTTTTGTCATAATTTTGCTTTAAGTATTGTATATAAGTTTTTTTTTTAAACAAATGCGAAACTTCAAAAAGTAGAGCTTCGTATTTTTCTTCTTATCATAACTTTCTAGATCATCTCAATTTTGAATGCTAAATGAAGATATAAATCATAAAGACAAATGAGAATGTTTATTTGTAAAAGTTTACAAATGCATGATAGAAGAAAATAGACATCTTGAACCACTAACAGAAAAACCTTTGCATGATATAAGATCTCTTTTTGCGGGAAAAGAACTCGAGAATATCGGTATTCTGACTGTTAAGTCTCTTCCAAATGTGGTAAATGCATCGAAGATCTTAGAACATTGGTGTGATGTTTGGAATTGGATATACAAATATACATACATAAGAGTTTGGAGAAAGAATTGATAGAAAAAGCCTTTACAACTCTACATGATAATCAACCATAAATTTGCATGTAACTATTACTCTAATGAAAACCCAATCAGACGTAATTTTTATATTCATAAAACAGTTGTCATTAAAAGGAAATGGTGCAAAAGGATAATCTTCGAAATTTGCATAAAAGTTGAATGAAAATAACATATTGGCCGAGGCAATTTATAGTTTTGTTCAATTGGTTCAGAAAACAACTGGGCTACGAAGTACGAACTTACTTGTCCACGGGAAATGTAGAACAGATAAGAAGTTCTGTGGGCCGGGCTTACTGTTTATTATCCTTGTACAGTTTTTTTTTTTTCTTTGAACACATCCTTGTACAGTGTTGGATTTTCTTTTTTCTTCTTTGTCCACACTATTATAAGTATAGAATGGGAAATGTATGATGAAGAATACAACAAAATAGTAATATCCACTTATCCAGCTTCGAGTATTTACAAAAATAATGTAGATAGTTACAGGGGCGGATCCAGAAAATTATTTAATGTGTGGCACAATAAATATTTTTATTAAATTTTATTTATATATATATATGTATTAATTTAGTAAATTAATTATTTTAAATATTTTTAGTATACTAATTATATTATATTATGTAAAATTATTTTTGTACTATACTAATTTATATTATATTATGTTAAATTTACATTACTTTAAATTTTACACTTTATTTTAAAAACTTGAAACAAGTAAATAGTTTTTTATAATGTAAATAATATTCAGTAATACTACATTATTATATTCCATATAAAGTTTTATTAGATATTTTTTTCTTTTAAGTTACAAGTAAAATATAAATAAAGAAACTTTTCTTTTATAAAAGGTAAAAACTAACACTAACAAAAGAAAAATGAATATTCTACTGGATAGGAGAAATGAAAACTTATTCTATGAAAAGATGATTAAAATATAATAAAGTATGTAAAAAAATTGGAAAACAAAAAAGAGTTCAAAGTTTCGAACACTAGTTGTGTCGGACACTAAAAGTCTTTTAAACCAAACGAGCTGCATTTTTCATTTGCCTACTTTTGTACAAGATATTTTATAAATTGGCATGTGGCACGTGCCACACCCTATCAAAGGCTGGGTCCGCCCCTGGATAGTTAACCAGAAAGATACAACCCACACACAAATAATAAACATAATCAGTTGATAATTAGTTTCAGGATATCCTCTTTTTGAACCATTAGCCAGTAAATTGACCATTGTTTTCACCTCCATATCTGTTCTGTAATGAAAACATTTGTTTAACCAAAATTAGGTTCATTAGTGGAATAGAAACATGTCCAGGAAACTTGCCGTACCCTAAATTATTCTTCATAAAGATACCTACCCCAACCTCCAAATGGGCCAAATACAAATAAATTCCTATTTATTTATCAATTATTTACATACACACCCCACATCTTTCTAACAGTTATTAATA